AAACCAAATTATCCCATCAGAAGACTATGATCTAAACGAGGGTCAGAACAGAATATGATCTAAAGAGAAAATACAAATTGAGCCTGGGTTAAGTATAACTTTGTGATAGACCCAGACAAGTGAGGAGTAACTGAATAAGCATTTTGGCCAAGGGATGTTGTTCAGTACAACTGCTTATGTAGTGAGTAAAATGTACCACATTTAACACCTACAAAAATGGTTTTTAAAAATGTATTAGAAAGCAAGCCTATCTATAGACCATAGAACATTATGAATAGAATACCCAAATGCCCTCAAAACAACCACATCCAAACGAAAAAACAACAAAAAATGCATCGTTTTAAATCATTTGACTAAGAAATTCAACTCTTGAAGCGCAATACAAATTTATATAACAAACTGATTTATGCAGATGTCTGAATTTGAGGTGTTGCTTTTAGTTTTCTTACTGTGGTAAAACTTAACACTTAGGAATTTGAATAGGAAAAAACTGGGTAACAAGGTCTAACTTGAGCAAAGCCACTGCCACATCATGTTATACATTTGACTTTACTGTTAGCATTGAGTATTGATACAATTCAAGCACAATTAGTCAAATGTTAGGGACGGCATGAAAGGACTACATTCGATGGGCATACAGACTCACTCAAAAAATTTAAAATGGGATTATTTCAGAATTTCTTAGAAACCTATGTAAAGACAGTGACCCTAAAAATGACAGTGTCAGAATGATTCTTCTAAATCGGAAGAAAAAAAGGCAGCTCACTTTGAATAAAATCTTCTCTTCTAATGTGTGAATAATTTGAGGTAGGGGATGCTTAACATCTGTTTGATATTATTCATATTCCTCTGTTACAGAGTAGTAGAAAAACATTAAGATAGTTGAAAACCAAAGAGCAATGCCTTGTACAAACATAGATGTGATTTGCATGCTTCAACAACTAAAATAAAACTACATTCACACTAAAAAATCTACTGGGGCATAAAAATATTGACATTTTAAGAATTTAAATTGAGTTTACAATAATGATCAACCTGAGCACAATGAACAGCAAATGCGACACTCTAGCTATAAAAATGCCAACAGCAAAGATGTACCACTTAGTTAAAGGACAAAGACATCAATTGTCCAACCACAGTGGACTAAATTAAACACTGCTCGTTTAATAATATGATATTCAGCCATTAAAAAGAATAAAGTAAATCTCAATGTTCAGCATATATAACAATGTCCATAACAGGCTGCTGAGTTTAAAAACAAGAGACTTTGAAAACATTACGTAAATTCAAAGATGCCAGAAACAAAAGGCCACATAGTGTTTCTATGAGATGTCCATAATAAGCAGATCCAGAGACAGAAAAAAAGAGTTGTACTCGCCAGGGTATGAGGGGAGGGGAAAAATGAGAGGTATAGAGAGGATTTTTTCTTTGGTAGGGGGAGAAGTGATAGAAATATTCTGAAAATAGTGGTGGGTGATGATTGTACAATATACTGGAATACACTGTGAATATACTAGAAAATACTGAATTGTACACTTTAAAATGGTTAAAATGGTAAATTTTGTTACTTGAATTTTATTTCAATAGAAATGTGCATGTATTTATTCATGTGTACATAAGCCACTAGGAAGAATGGGTACCTATATGTATAGTTTGATAAAATGCATGCTAATCTATTTAAAGGGAGTTAGGTGGGGAATGAAATTTTGGGATAGAGGGACAATTTCACTTGATGTTAATATTTTTCTGGGAAAAGGTACATTTTTTTGTCTCTATTAAAATCTCCCCTAAAACCCTTCTCTTGAACTCTTGAAACATGTATGTGCTGGTGGTTGCTCTGCCTCCCATTCCTTTTTCCATGTTTTCTAAAGTTTATTAATGTAATTTACATATCACGAAATCCACCTATTTTAGTATACACATAAATTTAGTTAGTAAACATACAGTTGTGCAGCCGTCACCACTGAAAAACTTCCCTCCTGCTCATTTGCCATCAATCCCCACTACCACCTCCTGCCAACCACTTATCTGCTGTCTTTATAGATTGGCCTTTCCTAGATATTTATATAAATTGAATCATATGATATGTAGCCTTTTGTATTTGGCTTTTTTTTAACTTGGCATAATGTTTTTAAGGGTCATCCATTTTGAAACAGCTTATGAATAGTCTGCTTTTTACTGCTGCATGGAAGTATTTTATCACGATGATAGTGTACCCAGAAAAGGAAATAAAGACGTTTACATTTAGAAAATTAAAAATTAAAACAGAAAACAAAAGGGCTTTTAGTACCATTGATTGCCTAAATACTCTACCAAGTCCTCCAATATTATCAGACCATGATACTGATAACTGAAAGCAAATGTGTCATTGAATTTTATAAAGACATTCCTTTGAACTAGGAAAATATAAAATAACTAGATTTTTTCTGTTTGTAGGAAAATAAGACATCCAACTAGGTTAAAAGTATAATTTACAAGCATCTTAAATGTTTCTGAGTACTTCTTTTGTTTTCCCATTTTTTCCTTTATTCATTTGTGTGTGTGCCACAAGTGCCAATAAGCTATTGAAAACACCTTAATGCGTAATTAACCACACTGCAAGCAATCAGAAGATTTAGTGCTGGTTGCAGAAATAAACCAAATTCATATACACAAGGTAAGCCTAATTAGTTAAGCTTACAAAAAATGTAATATCCGGTTTTTAGAACCTAATGTGCTCAAGAAAGTATTTGTGCTTTTAAATTAGAACAGCTATTTAATTAGTCCTTATTTGAGTGTGTAATCATTTTAATTTATTTACACACAAACACAGGACATTGTGCTCCATCAGCAGATAATGTTCTTCATTAAACAGAGTAGGAACTTTGTGCTCAAGGGCAGAAGAAATATTTCCACCTATGATGCAAAATCAGAACTGCCTACTATCAAATTTCATTCTTCAGTTTTGATGGTCACCATCCTGAAATACATATTTGTTAATAATAACACAAGTTTGACTAAGGATTCTGCCAATCCCTAGAAATTGACAATTTAAATATTTAATGTTTCATTTTACCTATTGCCCAGTTACAAATCGACTATTTAATTATTTATGAACAAATTAACTTATTTAAATTCAAGTAACAGTACTGTACTACAATTCAAACTCCAATAATTTGGATGGTGCAGAAGCAGAGTTAATTTTTTTTAAAGTTAATTCTTTCTTCATTAGGGGTGAAAAGTAGTAATAGCCTAGACTGTAGAGAGTGGTGAGGACAGGTTTTATTTAGACTGTATGAAAACAAACATTGTATGCTTGGCAGGCTAATGACAGATCATTCTTATGTGTTCATTAAAGTATATGAACCAACTCTTCCTTAAGGCATTTCCAATAAATCTTGATACCTTGTTACTGACACACTGCTTCCCCTAAATCCTAAATACACTCTATAAATAAATAAATAAAAGTCTCTCATGAACTCATCTTCTGTAACTATCATTGAAAAGGTACTTTAGTTTTTGCTAGTAAATAGCAGTTGAAATTTGACATGTCATAATATGAGTCAGTGGATAGCATGTGAGGGCAGCTTTAACATGAGGAATTGTTTGGGTAGGAGGCTTACCCTAGGTAGTATTCTGAGGGAAGGCCCAGTGGTACTCCTGGGTAAGCATGCTTCATTGTATAATCTGAACCAAGAGAGCTGTTATACTGTTTTGAAAACTTTCCAGACTACTTTAAGAAAGGCTAAATACTTCCTATATAAATATTTTTTTTTCTTTTTCTTTCGACAGAGAAAGGGAAAAGAGTAACAGATCTGCTTTATATAACATCATGGCAAATGTGGCCTTGGTTTCTTACAACTCTTCATGATTAAGTTAGAGTATCACTATAGAATAACATTTTAACTTGCACAGTTTCCCTTTACCCAAAGTTTAAAATTCTTCTATTTATGTGAAAGAAAAACAGTGTATACTTCACATCAGAAACGCTCCCTTTTCTGTAGGTAGTAGGTACTGCAAGCATAATTGCATAATTTTAACTTCAGAGACAACTGACTGAACTTTGGAGCACATATTTGAGTTTAGCAATGCCTATTAAGGTTAAAAATACAAATTTGCAAAATACCAAATGCACAATGCTTAAGTACTATCCCAAATCATGTTATTAGATACAATTTTTAAAATTCTCTGATTAGATGGCCACTATCCAAAGATAGTATTTTAAGATTTACAGCCGGGCGCGGTGGCTCAAGCCTGTAATCCCAGCACTTTGGGAGGCCGAGGCGGGTGGATCACGAGGTCAAGAGATCGAGACCATCCTGGTCAACATGGTGAAACCCTGTCTCTACTAAAAATACAAAAAATTAGCTGGGCATGGTGGTGCGTGCCTGTAATCCCAGCTACTCAGGAGGCTGAGGCAGGAGAATTGCCTGAACCCAGGAGGCGGAGGTTGCGGTGAGCCGAGATCGCGCCATTGCACTCCAGCCTGGGTAACATGAGTGAAACTCCGTCTCAAAAAAAAAAAAAAAGATTTACAGAACTTTGCATTATCTGCATAACTATATCTGGAGAAAGAATGTCTATTTCCATAAACCTAGTTATACAGTTCTTGAAAATACCCATTGGTAATCACAGTATTATAGCAAACCCATAAAATATGCATTTACTCCATATGTAAAATCAACTACATGATCTTGGCAGCATGTATGCATGCATTAATAACACACTAGTATAAGTCAACTAGCCACTCCACTCACAAGTACAATATTTGGGGATAAGGCATGTGTCAGTCTGCCACCCCTACAGTGAGTTTCAGTTACTCAGTGACAATCACTGGATGAGCTTTTAGCTATGCTGAGTGTATCTAGTGTTTAAAGATACCTGTATGCTTTCAGTATAAAATGGGCCCTAAAGCAAGGCAGATAATCTATCTGGTACTTAACTGAAGAAACAGATATCTATTCCAATGCTAGTCCAAAAAAAAAAAAAAAAAAAAAAAAAGGCACATAGTACTTTTGAGACACAGTACAACAGTCTTTAATGTGTATATGACTACATATATTATATTTTTAAGAAGGGTTTGATTAAGAGAAGTTTTGGCTATATATGACTCTGCAGGTAACCAAACAAACTCTAGAACTAAAGTTGCATCAAATGCAACTCTATCGCATAGCTGTTTTGACAGCAACAGTTAAGGATAAAATAGTTTTGCACCTTATTATTTTGGAGCTAAATAAAAAATAACCACCACCACCAACAAAAAATCTCTAAAATGATTTAAACTAAAAATTTTGTTGGGGATAGAGTAAACAACAAATAAGAAAATAATTTCATCCATTTGTGGTATTTGGCTGAAGATTAGCAGTGTTAAGTCTAACCAACAGTGAGATGATCTTAATTCCCAAAGCATCTTCTACTGTTTATTAGCAAGAATTGGATATTAATGAAAGACATTGTTACATTTGCCTTAACAAGAACTATATTGAAAAAGACAAATGAATTGCAAAGACAAAATACTACACAAGAATTACAATATAAAATTTGCTAAGTTTGAAAACCTACCAAATTGCTTTCCTAAACTAATTTGGTAAGTATGAAAACCTAGCCCAAACAAATTAATGGCAAGTGGGTTTCTTCAGATTAAGAATGAAAAAAAAAACACTTATGTGAATCAATAAATATGTTAATTCTCTCAATCTCTTTTTATGCTTTGAAAGCTTGCTCTAAAAAAGGACCATGGATATATCAGTTTGGTATTTCTTTTTATTTAGTCTGAAAGTCTCTTTTTTTAAAAAAAGCAACATTTTTCTACCCATACCATATCTTTCTCATAACTATAATTGGGGTTTGTCCAATGATCAGTATACAAGATACAGTATTTTCCTAAAACTCTCTGGCAAGAGAACATGACAATATAAATCAAACATATTCAATACAAGAAAATAATGTAACTCAAAGTAATCTGCTTCTCACTTAATCCCCTTTTTGTCTGATTCTATACTAGCTGATTCTATTCTTAAAGCTTAGGTTAAATTAGGAGTCAAAATCAGAGCCTAGTTAAAAGAGACAAAGAGAACAGTGGTTTAGTAAAAGTAAACTCAACAACACAGTTAAAATTAATTGAGAAAGTTTTAATTAATAAGCATTCAAATGTACTTTACATTGATAACTGCAATACTGAAACTGTAAAACTTTAAGTATTTTTCTCAAAAAAGGTTAGTGATTTTTTTCTTTTTTGGGAAATGTGGAGACCCAACCATGAGCATCAATGCAACCATTCCAGGTCACTAAGCTTTAGTTAACACTAATATCTAAATAAGTGTTCACATTTCATGTCTACAATAAGGTAGACTGTGAACTTCCTATAGCTCTGAATTTTAGCAGAAATTCCATGAGATAATTTACAGTAATGCCAAATTTTTGGAGTGGAAACTCATACTCTACATTTGGATCACTTTTTTGCTTTGAGTGTACCTGAACTTGAGAATAAAAGGCAATTTTTCTTTCCTAAATCCTCGGAAAAATATTTTTTGCAGTAAGTCTTCTTTACTATGTCTGGGTTGTTGTTAAGAAAGATTATCAGCTTTGTGTTTGGTTTCCCACAGTTGATAAAAATCTATCAAAAACATTGTAATTTGCAAAGAAAAGGTTTTTCAAAGGCTGCAGGAACCAGAAAGAAATAGCATTTCTTATTTGTATAAACACAAACATTTAAAGCTAGTCGCACTGCAGATAAACCCAATATAGTATTCAAAGTTCTATAAAAATGAACAGGAGGTACACGTTTACTTTCATTGCTCCAACAGTCAAATGTAAATCTGCATGACAGTTGCACTGCAGCAGTTTCACTGGTCCAATTTAAGAGTTCAAGGTCCTTTTTGCACATTTGGCCCACTGATGTCCACATTCCAGATAAATTCAGTTCAAAAGACAGAAATCAGGGCAAAAACTCCATATAACAAAGCACAAGGATATGCTACTAAAAGTTGCTGTCCTTCCATGGCTAATGCAGAAATAAATATTTTGGAAGCCGAAAAACTACACCATCCAATAATCACAGCAGTGAGAATGATTCCTACCATTCCTCTGTAACCAACAAGGAAAAAAGGGGGAGGAGGAAAAAAAAAAAAGCAGATGAGATTAGTTATGTAAGAACGCTACAATAACCTATTCTAAAGAAAAGCATTTTAAATTTACATTTTAAATTGGCAAGTAGATATATGCAGAAATAATCACTATTTTTTTTTTCAATGCTAAAATGTACCTCACAGTGAATTCAATGATGCTGAATCATTTCATGTGATAAATAGCTTTTTTAGAACTACATCTTACTTTTTAAAAATATAAGGTCTCTCACCCTTGGCACTACTGACATTTGGGTTGGATGTTATTTTTGTTGTGGGGGCCGTTTTGCCCCCCATCAGACATCGCCAAATGTCCCCTTGGAGACAGGGTTTCTCCATGTCAGTCAGGTTGGTCTTGAACTCCCAGCTTCAGGGGATTTGCCCACCTTGGTCTCCCAAAGTGTTGGGATTACAGGTGTGAGCGATCGCGCCTAGCCATACCTTTCCTTTTAACCTAACCTAAAGTATAATTTAAAAATTACACATATTTAAAGCTGTTTACAAGTATATCTATCTGAGAAACACAGTAGGCTGTTCACAGCCTCTTGTCATAAAAAGAATACATTTCCAGTTAAAAAGCTGTCCAACAGAGTATTTATTTATTATTCATACATTTGGCACATGCCCAATGGTTTCAAGAAATTAGGTCAGATCTAGAAAATATTGAAGAGGGTAATTATGCATAATTTGAACACTAACGTCTTGAACTTTTTAAGGTAATATTTAACAATCACCCTGTTCAATTTGTTACCACTATGACAATGGTATGTAAACATAAACTAGTGAAATTCTTTACCATGGGTAAAATAGAAATGGTATAAAAGGTTTTTAAATTTATTCTCATTACCATTGTTCTTCATCCAAAATCATTTGGCACAGTCCCTACTATCAGAGCCACTATCTGATATGTTTGCTGAAAATCAGTGATTTACTGAAACTCAAGATGAGGCAAATCCTACTACACAGAATCAGTCAAGCAACCCCCAAAATAAAGATCAGTACTTACTGCAAAGAAAATATCACTGCAAAGCTGGAAAGTAGGATCATGGGCAGAAGACAATATCCAAGGACACTTGCCACACAACCGAATGAAACACCTGTCATGCTCATTAAGTTTAATAAACAAAACATTCCTAGACATCCAATTGCACTGATCCCATATACATAGCCAAACTGAATTTTGCCAGCCTACGGGTAAAGAAAAAGATTACAGGTTAAAGGGTAAAATATAAGTTATTTTTGGCCTTATTTCACCTCAATCGGTACATGTAGGAAATAACTGATGAGCATTAAAATCTACAGATGTATCCAGTCTTTATGTAGAGAAGTAAAGGACTGAGCAGACAGGTTTGTTACAGTCTTTGTAACTTTAAAGTGCACAGATATTTCTTTCTCCATTTTCCAGTTAGCATGTGAACTTGGCATAGAAGTGAGCAAAGAGACAAAAACATAGCTGACCTAAAACAGTAAGGTTTCTAAAAAGAACTCTGGATGATTTTAAGCAAATAAACTAGAGACAAGATGGAAAGCCATTCAGAATGAAATAGGAATAGCAATAGGAATATCAGCTGAAAGTACCTAGCTCCACCAAAAATACCCCAAAGCAATTAATTCTCATTGGTGGAGGTAGTAATAATCTTTCTAAGAAGAAATCTTATGATACACTTTATATGGGTATTAGAGGAGCAAGGACAAACAAGAAGCCAGGGTTCTGTGAGGAGGAGAGAAGAAATGGCAAGAGGAATATAATGGAAGATCTTTTTTCTTTCCAAATTATTGGCTGATTTATACAGTCCTTTGATTAAAAAAAGACATCAATAAACAGTTTAAAGCACTGCAAAGATTAGCTAAATTGGAATTATCCTACTCTTAGTCAAGTTCGTGAATAAACGTTATATTCAGGTCACATTATCACTAAAACCAGTTCACAGAAAAGCCTTCAAAAAAGTTCCTGATTTATCCAATTTTTGTCACATAAAACTAAATTATGAGAATGCCTCTACAGATTACGTTAAGTAAAAAAATTATTGGGACTTTTATTAGATTATTTGTAAATACTTGATTAATAGTGCAGAAGTTTGAAAAAGCTGAGTTCACTGAGGAATTCATTCATGTAGTAATAATAAACCTTATATTTGTACAGCGTTTTTAACTTTTCAATGTGTTCTCACATAACCTGTCTTGTTTCATCTTCAAAATAATCTTGCTAGGTAAGCAGGATAGGATTATTTTCTATGACAGGAAACTGAAGGATTAAATGATGTAGCCAAAGGCAGAGTAGGGGCACTCAGTTCAAGCCCAGCTCTTCTGACTAGAAATCCCATCTTCTATGTATTATTAATCTCTTATAATTCAGAGACATAAGATAAAATAATTATTAACAATTATCTTTATAATTTTTCTGTTTTCAATATGCCTTAACATTCTTGGGAAGGTGATAAATTGAGAAAATAATATATAGAAAAGTAATAATCAGTATGACTATAACAAAACTTTAACCAAGGTCTGGAGATTTTTTTTTAAATGCTGTTATTAACAAAAAAGAGCAATAGTGTGTAAGTAATCTCTGAAAGACAGAATTCTAATGAGGGTCTGAAGCCATACCTGTTATTTACTATTGTTTTTATTTTTCCCCCTAATAATTGAATCATTTTTTAGAATAAGAAATGATTTTTAAAACATGCTATACTTACTATGGATGGAGAACTAACGAATAGGTATAAATACAAGCAACTCAATACTATTTCAAACACATCAAAGGCTTGAGGTGTATAAGCGGAGTTTCAAAATGGCTTTTAGTAGAACATTTAAAATTTAAAGGTTATTTAATTGCACCCTGAAGGATGAAATAAAAATCTTACCAGTAGCAATGTGGCTCCAAAAGCCAGGCAAAAAACCATTGGTCCTGCCAAATCAGTTTCATTCATGATGCTGCCATCTGCTACTTTTAATGGATGTAATACTGTTAGTGTTTTTTGCCAGATGTGGTCAAAATTGATACCTAACTCTAAGGAGAAAGAAAATTTAAAAGTTAATTAGGATTTGTGATGTATTTTTTATTTATCAAAATCTATGTTGAAACAGGAGACGAAATGACATAGATAGCATCAGAAAAGGATCTAGCAATATTGGATGATATTATTATCATTATTGAGATAGGGTCTCGATCTGTTACCCAGGCTAGAGTGCAGTGGCATGATCATATAGCCTTGAACTCCTGAACTCAAGTGATGTTCCCACCTCAGCCTCTTGAGTAGCTGGGACCACAAGTGTGTGTCACGACACAAAGCTAATTTTTTATTTATTTTTTATTTTCTGCTGTTCTTGTTTTGAATATTTTTTTTTTTTTTTTTTTTGGAGGGATGGGGTCTTGCTGTGTTGCTCAGGCTGGTCTTGACCTCCTGTTCTCAAGAGATCCTCCAGCCTTGGTCTCACAAAGCACTGGGTTTACAGGTGTTGAGCCACTGTGCCTGGCCTGGATGATATTATTTTAGTGAGTTCTCTATGCCTGTCTTCATTGTGGTGCTCATCCCACAAATATTTCTGTATTGGTGTTGGAAAAGGGTATGGATATGATGAAACAGACACTTATTACATCCCTTAGGTATGACTGCATAGCAAAGAATATACAAAAAGGGTTAACAGTAAGAGGTTCTTTAACTAGGGCTTCAGGAATACCTGGGGGCCCATTTAACTGTATACAAAACTATGTCTCTAAGCACATGTGTGCATTTTTTTCTGAGGAGGGTATTCATAGCTTTCATTAGATTTTCAAAGAGTATATGGTTCAAAAAACATGTTCAGAACTACAGCTTTCTAGATTTTGCAATACAATTTGAAAATCACCTTTTTTTTTTTTTTTTAATTATACTTTAAGTTCTTGGGTCCACGTGCAGATTGTGCAGTTTTGTTACATAGGTGTACACGTGCCATGGTGGTTTGCTGCATCCATCCCCGTCATCTACATTAGATATTTCTCCTAATGCTATCTCTCCCCTGGCCCTCCCACCCCGACAGGCCCCAGTGTGTGGCAAATCACCATATTTTTAGTGATGTTACTACTTTTGCCAGTTTATTTCCACATAGAATAATGGATACCATGCTTTTTCTTCTCACTTTTTCTACCAGTAGAATTTAAGTCAATAAGCTGCAGTAAAAGTCAATGCTGATATAGTAAGATACTTTATTATCACTATTAAAAGATGTATTAAAAAATTTGGTCCTCTGGCCCAATGTGCTCTCATATATACTCTATTTAAAATGACTTGCTTAGCAGAAAACTCTCTTCTACAAGATTATTTTTTTTTAAAGGAAAAGACAACTTCTCCAAATTAAGATTAATTTTCACTAACCAACTGAATACTATTGAGTACTATCAAGTGTTGCAACCAATCTTACCTTCTAATAAAGGTGGCTCATCCTCAAAGTTGTTTCCATAGAATGGCTGAGGTGAAGCTGGGGTATATGCCTGAGTTGGCTGGAAAATCTGCCCAGTGTATGGCTGTTGTGGCTGCATCATGTCTGGAGGGACAAATCGGCCTTGCTGCGAGTAGTCATAGCCAGGATACTGTCTATAAATGAAAGTAAGTTAATTTTTTCAGAAGTATTTCAACTCCTATAGTTATCATGCCTTAAATTCCTAAATTTTCATGTGACAGCTAGAGAAACTTAGTTGCGCAAATTCCTAAGATATATAGTTGGCCAATTTTTATAAATCGTGACTGAAATGATTACTAAGATCAAGCTGATTACCTACAAGGAAAAAATCATAATTTTTATAGAAAATCTTCTTAATGATACCAATATTCACTTACGTAGCACTAAGCATTTAATAAACTGTTAAAGGTTAGGAGATCAACAAATGAAAACTTTAAAGTTGTCTCTACTTTTCTCCTTTAGTGAATATATACAATATAAAGATACTCTATGAAATAAAATTTGTGCCTAAGAATGAATGAAAGCTTAGGATGTCTGACTTTGCAATACATGTTACATAATTTTCCACTGTAATTTGGATAGCCATTGAATTACCATTCTTCTTTACTCTTCATAGTATGTTACCTTTGGCAAGCGGACAAATCTCTTTAAGAACAGCCATCAATTTTAAAATAGAATGGACAAATCAAGCTTTTGCTTTGTGAGCACTTGCTGAATATAACAGAACATTTTTAGTACACTTTGCATTTGAAGAGTACTTTTAATTTTTCATAGTTATACACTTATTGTCTCATTTGATATGTGCTATAGAAAACCCTGCATCTAGAGGGAAAGTTTATCACAGCTATTTCAGTGACAATGACAAGAGTGAAGAGAAGGATATTGAAGCCACATCTCTAAACATCTGTTCCACCAGGCTCTGAAAAAATCCAGCTATGGATGGGAATAATCAAATGATATACTAAGAAACACAGATGTGAAATAGTTACTTTAAAAGATATTCTAAAAAATGAGAGCTGGGAAGCATTAGAAATCCTTTAGTCTAATTCCCATTTAAATTCCTATAGTCATAATGTCAGTTTTCCTTGAAGTGAGGCTCACTTTATTCATTTTTGAGAAAATATCTGCCAAATGCTCAAGTCTGAATAACCATAGTTTATAAGTTGTTCTTTCAAATAAAAATGGTCTTCAGGAGTAACAGCCAACTCAGCTTGTACAGGTGCTTTTCGTAAACACAGTCATTGTACTTTAGTATGCAATAAATACTAAATTTTGTCACACAGAATATTAAAAAAATACGTGTACTAAAGGGTCAGGGTTTAATAAAATAATTCTTACTGCTTCTTCAAGAGAAACCTTGAATGAAATTGACTCCCTGCCCACTCTCCAACAAGTCTGTAGAGTGATGAAGAATATGATGACTACTAGAACAACTTGATGCCACTACCTTGAGTCATACACTGGTACCAGCAGTTTTACCAGTCAATACTTTTGCAACAGCACTGCATATGTTAACATACCTTAAAAGGTATACGGTATCTTAGTATTGTTATGAATATAATTTTGACCTTAGAGAATCTCAGAAGAGTCTGAGGGACCCTCTGTAGTCTACAGCCTAAATTTTAGAACTGCTGATATACACCCATAAATTTCATGCAAGCAAATTATTGTTTCAAAGGTGGCACCATCATTCCATCTTCAAGCGGAAAGGTGAGAATTACAGCATCATAGAATTTTACTATTCTCCTTTTCTGGCAGGACCTATTCAGAAAAATTTGACTTATTCCTGCTGGTTTTAAACTAAAACATGGTATGGCACACATGATCTTTATAGACTAAGGCAACATACTTTCATGGCAGGAAGATTAGCAGATATTAAATTAATACTCTCATAAGTACTCTGTACCAACAACAAAGACAAAGTCTCTTAACATATTGGGTTGGTTACCCAAGTTCATGGAAATCCTCAAATATTCCATAAAGATACTACCGGGTAAATCAAAGGAGAAAAAATATAATAGCTTTCATACTTTAAAAAATGTAACTTGGTATTATGATATATTTCATATGCATATCTAGAATACAATGTGGAACCTGTCCAATTTTCCATTTGTATAATTCAACAGGTTATGATCAAACGGTCTTTTATATTTTTTTGTTTTTGTTTTTCTTTTTTGGTGAATGGATGTATGAATGATATTTGTGAAACACCTATAGAAGAAGCCACAAAATGTTAAAGCTGACTTCATATGGAAAACGCAGAACTGTGTACTAGTAACAAGTCAAGTTAAAAGCTTAAAGACAACGCAAGTAATATGCTATTTGCACCCAGATTTTCACCAACAGAGAGCTAAACGTTATTGGCAGATCTTTGTTACCAAGTTAGCAAATCAAAATATTATTTGGTTAATGGAGATGGATGTCTAAAATGCCATTAGATTGCAGATCTACTTGAAGGTACACACAGAAGAGTTCAATTTTTAAAAAATAAATCTCAGAAACTCAAATTTACTACTGTTAATATATTAGGCTTCTTTTTTTCCCAGGCATCATATATGAAGCCAAGTTTATAGCAATAATGGTTATATAATCACCTGGAATAAAGCTTCACTAGTACTGAAGCAATGCTTACAGGTACATAATTTGGTTGGAATGAAACTGTGAGATAACAACAAGTGCTAAGTAGCAACAAGTTGTTTAGAATATCTAAATTGCTGTATGGAGAACTGAAATGACTGTAAAATGGAATGAGACTGTAAGTCACACCTTTTAAGTGAAGCAAACGTGGACAGGACAGAAAAGAAAGGCAGAGACAGATAGATCCTATAGGCCGCAATCTAAATGGAATAATTCTGTTGAGTCTAACTATAAAAAAACTATTCGGTTAAAAACAGGCCTGCATACGGAGACAGGTTCTCTGAAGCCCTGTTGCTCCTTTAGGCAAGGGTTTATTAGACGGACTCTGGCTCTCCTATACGCAGAACAATCACCAAAAATACATATTTGGGTAAATGAATGAATGGAAATATCTCAATACAAATTTTCCAATTCTGCCCATTAATTGATCAAAAGAGATAAATCCTCATTGATATGTAATTAAGAATTTAACAGAAAAGAGAAATGAATCAGAGGGTATTTTCACATGCTCACTGCCATTGTTCAAATGTGTTAAGTTTTAGAGGGTAAAACAAAGCCTTAGAATATAACACATTAAGCAGACTCAAAGGGTCTATAGTTTTAGAAAGGATAGCCTAGCCAAGACAGATTATTATAGAGCAAGAGTGTTTTTGAATTTTGTTTTGTTTCTTAAATTCTTGGGCACTCTAATCCAAACACATTCTGGTATTGCATGTTTCTCACAAACTGACATAACCTTCCCCTGCCCTCATTGTGGAACAGTCTTTATGAGGTTCTAAATTTGGGATCCATGGATGAACATCGTATAACACATGAATTGTTTTAAGTTATACATGCACATTTATTTCGGTGTTTTGAGTGAATGCATGTATTTACGGGAAAGAGACCCAGTTGTAATAAGATTCCTAAAGAGATCCAGAACCATCTAAAAAAGTCTAAGCAACCCTAATATAGGAAGCTCCTTTATCTGACAGGAAGCTATTAAGATTATCTCTAGGGTCCTAAGAAACTAAGGAGACGATGTCCTAGATGAGATTGCTAGAAAGACTTCGGTTCATTGTATTTTTGTCACAAACACAAGGTACTATAAAAAGATCATTAAAAAAAAAGTTCAGAGGCTAGTGGCTCTGAGTTCACCTTCTCAGTATGCAACTAACAACATGTGTGATACTGACCATAAGGGTTTCAGAAAAAGGAGTAATAAAAATGATTATCAACTGCTGTATGAAAACCACCTGATGATTCATAATAGTGACCTTACGCTGTTATAATAATGTCACTAAGCACTTTCAATTAGTACTGATAAAAGTCTCAGAGTTGGAATGATTTTACTACTAACAAAAGATCTTAATTTTTCACTAGTCCCATGAACTAACAACAGCCTATCTCCTAGGTGCCTGAAGCTCCCATCTTCATCTAAATACAGAAATACGATTACTAGAAAACAATTCTTCAAACAAGTTACTTTTCCATTCATGGTAAACCTGAAGATTTTGCAGAAGATAACCAACTCTAAATAGAGCAATACCTTCAAACCCAAACCAGTCACATGTCACATGTCTCTCCTGAGGAAGAAGATTATGCATGAAAAATCATATTCCTGATAAAGGACATGTTCACACACTGTTTTAGGCAGAACCAAATATTCTAAATATGTGTTTTCCCTGCAATGTAGACTAAATTAATTGCCAAAGATGAAAAGTTACTTGCTATAGGGTCCTCCACTTCCTCCATAATCATAGGACTGCTGTGACTGATCATCGATGCTGTAACTTGTCTGGTAGAAATCCGTATTTAAGTTTTCAAAACCGGACATTGCAAATAATCTGTAATAAAAGAGAAATGGTTAATATTGCTTATCCCCAAGATCCTACTGAATTCATTCCTGGCAGTCTGCTTAAGCAAATACAGAACACAACAAATATTTTTTCAGTAATGCGGCGGGCAGGGGTGAGGTCAGGGAGGAAATGCAGCATTCGAAGGACGGTAGCGGAGAGAGAGTAAGAAAATGTCTATTCCCGAAGTTGAGGCCCAGTAAGACAACTCCACCTTAGGAGCTGATGTGCCTTTCAGCTAGGGACGAGGTCGTGGGAGTGGTGGTTCCATAGGGGTCTAAAATATCGATAATAACAGAAATGATTTTTCACCTTGGGACAGGGCTTTACAGCCGACAACGCGACTGCTTCCTTGAAACGTAAGGCCTGCCGCCTGCCAGGAAAGTGCAGAATCTTGGAAGGTCGCGCCTGAGGTGCAGGGGCCCGCATCAGAGCAAGGGCTTGAATGGGAGCGAGGGTCTGAGCGAAAGGACCAGGGCGCGGCGCCGAAAGACGGCAACAAGCCCATTTGCACAGGTGTGGAGAGAAGCCGAACAGTGTGCCACGGGCCTGGGTCACTCACCAAACGCTGAGGCTGCGCTGGCGGCAAAGGCAGTATCTTCAGCAGTCCCAAACAATCCCCAAACTCAGTTTCAGAACCTGAACTAGCCCCGTTGCTACGTGTCACAGGGCCAAAGAACTGCTTCCGGGGCATGCCCGCTCGCGCAGGCGTGTTGGCAGGTTTTGCGCTCTCCTCTTTGGTTGGGCACCGGTGGGCGGGGGGAGGAGACTTACGAATATGGAGCATGCGCAGTATCTAACCCGCCTGTGGCGGGCCAATGCGAAAGGGGAAAGTGTTTCCGTCAGCCTCTTTAGCTGTGAAACCAGGAAAGCGCAGGCGCAACAATTGCTGCTTACGGTGAGGAGGAGGACTTTCTCAGACCGAGGTACTGGTGCGGGAGGCGCTAAGAGACAGAAGAAGCCTCTTCTCCTGTCCACAAACTGCAGTGCCTCAGTGTTTGCATTTATTGTGATTCAAGCACGGTGCTGAAGAGTTTATATGTATTATTTAACCTTTACAACCCAATGAAATGGTTACTTTGTTACTTCCCTTTTGTAAGTGAGGCTATTAAATGTTTATTCATTCAGTGCTAGCTGGGGGGATACTGTGGTAAATATAAGCTGTATGATATATACGCACCTGGAGTTGGTGGTGGAGAGGGGTAATCAAACACATACAAATGCACGTGAAATTGCTATTAATATTCTTTAGTGCTCCATAATTCTTTGAAAGAGTGTAATTCTGTAAAGAAGAGTCTGTAAAGCCACTATAAGACGGTTGTCGAAGGGTGAGTGGGAGTTAGAGAAGAGGAGAAAAAAGAGGAAAGGACAAGGGTAAAGGAGGACAAGGGAAAATAGCCTGAATATTTTAGGCAGAGAAAACAATGTATGCAAGACCTGGGAAGCATGAAAGATGAAATCGGGTTCTAAACTTAAGTATTAGTGACATTTTGGGTCTAGTTGATTCTTCGTTGGGGGCTGCCCTGTGCGTGTAAGATGCTTAGCAGTGGCATCCCTAACCTCTAGCCATTAGATGCCAGTACTCCCCACAACCCACCACTACCACCAAGTTGTGACAGCTAAAATTCTCTCCAGATATTGCCAAATCCAAATGGCCCTGGGGTGGGGGTGGGGACAACATCAGCTGAATTTGGGAACCACTCATCTGTGAGAAACCTGAGTGACTGGAAGAGCAAATAAGGGGAGCCACGTAGGAATTGAGGCTGATATAACAGGAAGGGGCCAGGAAACATCCTGTGGGATTTGTGTGTTGGTTTTGAAAGAAGTCAAGATTGTGAACTGATGAGTGATGTTTAGATTGTTTTCTTTTGAAAAAGAATGCTTTGGTTGCTGTGTTAAATCACTTTCTCAAGGTGGTGGAATTCTTAATATTGTGACTCTAAATACCATGTTATTAGCTAATGAGCAGAACTTTCTTCAGGGTTTATAGTGTTAATATTTATCATGAACCATTGCATTGTATTCTGGGATCAAAATCCTGAGGCCCTCACAAAAGAAGCCAGACCATTGTTTGGGGACTGGTTTCCAAAGGAACAATAAAATTTCACTGAAAAAATTTCTCTCAACACTTCCCATCCCAATAAAACACAAGTAAAACTAAAACAAACAAATGCACTACCCTGCAAACAAAAATAGCAACAGCAAAAAGATACAACAGCCAAACCAAAAAGCCTAGGATTGTACGCTAGAGACCAACAGGTAGCTACCCTTTGAGGTTTGTACTCCATTGGTGAATTTATTTATTTATTTATTTATGTTTATGGTTACATAATAGTTGTACATATTTATTAGATAAATGTGATCGTTTGATACAAGCATGCAATGGGTAATAATGAAATCTGGGTAATTGAGATATATCCGTCACCTCAAACATTTATCATTATTTTGTGTAGAGAAAATTCTAAATCCTAGTTATTTTGAACTATACAATAAATTATTGTTAACTATAGTTACCCTATATTGCCACTGAACACTAGATTTTTGTACCTTCTATCTAACTATATTTTTGAATTCCTGAAATTGATCATTCAAGTCTTTACCACTTTTCAGTTTAGCATTTATTGGTTTAGGTATCATCTGCACAACTTTAGGTAGAATGACCACTTATTATGATTTGCTAGAGACAATCCCATTGTCCCATTTTCTGCCTATTTTTACCTACCCCCAGCATAATTATTGTTTCCTTTTAGCCTAAAAAATATCCTACTTCTACTGATAAACTTTGTGATTGTACTTTCTTTAAGCTACATTATCCATGAAGCTGAGTTTCTAGTCATCAACAATAGGCAATAATTATCTACTTAATAATCTTATGGTTAAAAATATTCTAGTCTCTTGTTTTTTTCTGATGTTTCTATTTCTTCTGAATCAAGAAAGATATCCCTTTCAAATTTGAATGAGCTACAAGAATATGAGCATTAAAAATGCCAGTTTAGGTGCTGGCAAGGTTGTAGACAAAAAGGAATGCTTATACACTGTTGGTGGGAGTGTAAATTAGTTCAGCCATTGCGGAAGATAGTGTGGCGATTCTTCAAAGATCTAAAGACAGAAATACCATTTGATCCAGATGTTCCATTACTGGGCATACAAACAAAGGGATATAAATCATTCTATTATAAAGACACATGCATGTGCGTGTTCATTGCAGCATTATGCACAATAGCAAAGACATGGAAGCAACTTAAATGCCCATCAACCATAGACTGGATAAAAAAAAAGTGATATATAAGCACCATGAAATACTATGCAGCCATAAAAAAGAATGTGATAATGTCCTTTGTAGGGACATAGATGGAGCTGCAGGATATTATCCTTAACAAACTAATGCAGGAACAGAAAACCAGATGCCACATATTCTCCTTGAAAGTGGGTGCTAAATAATGAGAACACATGGACATATAGAGGGGAGCAACACAGTGGGAGATGTTAGAGGGTGGAGGGAGGGAATCAGGAAAAATAACTAATAGCTACTAGACTTAATACCTGGGTGATGAAATAATCTTTACAACAAACCCCCATGATACAAGTTTATCTTAGGTACTAGGCTTAATACCTGGGTGATGAAATAATCTTTACAACAAACCCCCATGATACAAGTTTATCTTAGGTACTAGGCTTAATACCTGGGTGATGAAATAATCTTTACAACAAATCCCCATGATACAAGTTTATCTTAGTACTAGGCTTAATACCTGGGTGATGACATAATCTTTACAACAAACCGCCATGATACAAGTTTGTGTAACAAACCTGCACCTGTACCCTTTAACTTAAAAAATTTGCCTGTTTAGGAATGAATTATTAGTATAGATGTTATTCAAATTCTACTTCTGTCTCTGAAAGCAATTAACATATTTATTTAAATTTTCCCCCTCGAATTTCTGCTCCAGTTGAGAAGCCAAGCAAGAAAATTGAGTTACCTGATTAAGTTTTACATATTGTTTATTTGACTTTGAAACGTAAGCCAAGGTATCATTCAGATGACCCTTAGGGATTTTGAGAACATCCATTAATTTCATGGCTAGTCATGCAGGAATTTCTTTTTGGATTTTTTTTTTCTTTTTTTTTTTGGCATTGCTTCCTCACTCTGGGATAAGCTCCAGAAAGTTATATTAAAGGAAACTGGTGTACTTGATAGATGTGCCTTCCTCTGTTAAAGTCACCTAGCTGGCTTTATCAGGAGTAGAAAGCCTCACCTAGGTTAAGAGATGAGGCAACATGAACTAGACCTGTAATAGCTGCACAGTCCTTCCCTGAGACCTAATGTATCCATCACCAAAACAAAAAGGGAAAGGACATCCTAATAATGAGTAATATCATTTAGTTAGACAGTCATACTAGTATATGTCATACTAATACTTTTACATACTTCAAAAACCCCGTTTTCTTACTCTGGCTGTGAAACTGAGATATTATAGTTGCCTTCTTTCCCTTCTTTTTTTCAGTTAATATGTCATGGAAAATCGTGCCAGAAAATTATGGTTTGAACCCGGACAGTTTTCTTCTATCTTCAGCTGCATCCACAAGCACCACGTGAAATGGAGATCTGGCAGCTCTGTGTGTATCAGTCAAGTTCCGCCATAAGACCTGACAATTATGGTAAAAACCAATATAAATACCCAGTGTTTGTTTTCTCTCTCCCTCCATAATAACTATATAACCTCTTTTCCAAAATATGACAATTATATTTCCCCCAAATTATCTTTTTTTCCCTTGCAAAAGAGTTTCCTCATCAGGTCTCCTGTATTAGGTTATTCAAAATCTGCTTCTTTTATTTCAATTATTTTACTTCAAACAATGAATAGTTTTGGGAAGACAGAGTTGCCTGTAATGGCATTGAATGCTTTTGTACAGAGCTAGTTTTTTAAAGCAAAGAAAGTTAACCCCTATTTTATAACTATTCCTGGAAGCTTGACTTCAATATTGGAAGCGCTACATGTTGTTAAAAAAAAAAAAAAGTCTTTTAAAGATAACATTTAAAGCAGTATTGTAAATACTGTAAATATTTTCATTGTAGAGATCAAAAATACCCTCTTTAGTAACAAATAAAAACATTGCTAATGTCAAGTGAATGGGTATTGTGGCTTGGAATATGAATTTCAGTGAAGGCACTGAAGCACTGAAACCCTGGAAGTCAGTATTTCAAATAACTTAGGTAGAAGGGGAAAGAATGTGAGACAGCATGGGAGAAATCCAAGTGGGCTCTAATGAGGGCAAAGCCACTCATGCCAAAGGTAAAAATGAAGCATTTAAAAAATATAGCAGCTAACACCTATATATTCTTCAAGCATTTGTGTACCAAGCATTTCTTTAAGCACTTTGCACTTTTTAACTCAATTACTCCTCCTAACAACCCAATGAGGTAGGTGCTATGTAACTCCCACTTGACATGTAGGGAATTGAGAACAGAGTAATCTTTTAAACATTATTATGCTAGAAAACAGTAGACTAGAGATTTTGAACTCGTTCCTGAGTCCGTATGCTAAACCACGAGGCTGTATTGTTATTATTATGAAGTGTGAATGTAGAAAAGGCAATAATTGTGATTAATGTACTAATTTATCTAAAATGTGATTGCTGATATCTATATAAACTAAAATTGCAACTAGACATTTGATAATTGCATCTGTGTCTCCGCA